CGCGCACGCGTCCGTCTCGTATCCGCACCGACGCAAATCCGGCTCAAAAATGGGCCGGGAATGGGTCGGCATGCGAACGCCAAGCGGACGCGCGTCCGTTTGGGTCGGCGCTTTGGGCCGCCTTTTGTGTCCGCGCCGATCCAAACGAATGCCAGTGGACGAAATGGGTCGCCCCGTTGGAGTTGCTCTGAGTGTGTCTGTCAGCAGCCGATTCGCGGACATAAGAGCATCTGCTCCCGGGCATCCCAAACCCATCTCAAACGCCCGGGCAGACGGCCGATGACGGGCTCCTCAAACGGGTATCAGACGAGTGGACTGAGAGCAACTTCAACGGGCCAACCAAATGGAAGGTGAATTTGTTCGCTTTTTGTCTGTTTGGGTCGGCCGCCCGCCCGGCGTCCGTCCTGTTTTACATTTGGGTCAACAGTGCGCCCAACGCGCCGACCTATTTCATGTCCGCACATAACTTTAGAAAAGGCCCGCGGCCATAGATCATGCCAGCGGCCATGTCTCATGCCGGCACCATGCCAGCGCCAAAATACAATCCCGACTTCAAAAGAACACCACACAGTTTATGCTGGCGCACTCGCCAGCGGCCGGCACACATGCCAACACACAAAAAGGGGTGGGACTTGAGTTTGACCATGCCATCGCGGCCCCGTGGTCATGCCAGCACACCTGCCGGCATACGAAAAAAGGATGGCGCTCGCCGCCATAGATCACTCGTCGTCGAACTTGAGCATGTCGGCATGCATCTTCTCGAACCGCGGCCTCTTCCTTGGCGACACGGTGTTCAGATCCACCTTCATGATCTCCATCCCGGTCATCCTGCTCGCGAGAGCCACTTCTTTCGCCTTGGTCTTGGCGTTGGCGGCCTCTATCTCTAGCATCTTGGCTTGCTTCTCCGCCTCCATCTCAAGCATTTTGGCTTGCTTCTCCGTCTCCATCTCAAGCCTTCTCCTTTGGATCTCCATGAAGGCGTTCATTTGTTCTTCTTTGTAACGTCGGCGCTCCTTGTCCCTTGAGTCCTTCTTGCTCATCATGCCCTCCACGCTTGCGATCAAAGCGTTCGACGCCACATCCCGCTTGTCCTCCTTCTTGGAGTTGGTCTTCCACCACGAATGTGCCTTCTCGCCGTCTCCAACCTCCTCCACGGCTTGCTTCCCCCCACGCGACCTGAGGGTGGCATATTGCGCCTTGAACTTCTCCTCGTCTTTGATGACCCTAAAGCAATGGGAGAGGTTGAAGCACTTGCCATTGTGTTGGACCTTGAATGCCTCCAAAGCTTGAAATGCCTACAAATGTATTTCATGCAAGCATATTGGCAAATGGTATGCAAATGAACATGCAAGCATAAACGGGATGACACAAAAGAGGGCAGCTTGCTAGCGTACCATGTCTTGCATGTCGATGCCGCTCACGGGGCGGGCCTTGACGCTCTCAAGAGTGGCACAAAACTTGTTACACTCTTGTTGGATCACCCTCCATCGCTTCGAAATGGACACCCACCCGCACGTGCTTACTATTTGGTATGGCGGAAACTTCTTGCGCTCATGGAACTCATGGTGGACACGAATCCAAAAAGTTGAATGATTTTGTTCGGCGCCCGTCTTGGGGTCTTGCCCAATGTCTCTCGAACACTCACAAATAAGCTTGTCCTCGGCCGCTGTGTATGCCTTGGTCCGCTTGCTCTTCTGCTTCGGCTTCACCCCGGCGGCTTGGTTGGTGAGCTCGTCTTCGAACAAAGGCTCCCCTTAGATGTCGGACTCATCCTCTTCCTCTTGCCCGTAGTCCTCCGGAAGCTCGTGGTTGAGTGGGAAGCCGTCCAGGTCCAGGCCGACTTGAGCATGCATGAAGGCCGCCTGATCTTGATCAAAGGTGGATGTCGTGAACGCCCCTCGGCCGTCCCAACTTTATGTCTAGTCGAGATCGTAGCCAGCCCCGGCGGCACCGCCAGCGGCCCGCGCACCACCCTTGAAGATCATGTTCTACATGTAGTCTTCATCGCCAGAGGCCGGCATTTCGTCGAACAGGTTGCGTGCGCCCGGCAGCACGGCGGCTGGCATCTGCCGCACGCATTTCTTCGCGCCTACGGATGATGAGCCACTGGCCACCGGTGTGGCGTTGAGGTCGATTGGCGCGGCCTCAGGCTTGGAAGGCGCCACCACACTCACCTCGGGCGAGCACTCCCTGGAGAGGCGGGAGGCCTACTGGTAGACGTGGAAGCCAGGCATCCGGGTGCGAGCCGACACGCTGGGAGAGTCGGGCAACACCATCCGAGGGAACGCAGATGAGCCGATGCTGTCCGAGGCCACAGTGACGTTGACAAGGCCGTGTTGGCCAGGGTTTAACCCTAGCACATAGAGCGTCTCCCTCGTTGTCACTTCAACGCAGGCGTTGGTGACCTCCTGCTGCGCGGCGGCGGCAACAACGGCCGCCGTGATGGCTTCATCCCTCGC